AATTGCATATAAAACACCGTTTCAAATCCTAATAAAAGCTTTCAGGCCAAAGAGGTCTCCTTAATCAATAAAAAAACTAATTTATTTATTAAGTTCATTTATGAGCATAAAATATAGATATCTACACAGTATATTGATGAATAATAAAAACATTTGATTTAAATTATTATTTAAGAATTATGTATTTTAATTAATTTATTTAATTTAAAATTAGCATATTATATAGTATTATTAAAATAAAAATTGAAAGTTATATAATTTAAACTTTACTTTAATACTTTGATCATAAATATTTTAACATGACTAATAGTGAAATAAATTTTGATGAACTATCTCAAATACATTAATAATAAATTTCACTCACCCAGGTTGATATAATTAAAATAAATTGATGAACAATATAAGTCTTAAAATAGCTTATTCTAAATATATACTTCGATTATAAATATTTACATACCAGAATATTTTGTGAGCTCCAAATACTTTATAACCTGAAAAGCTTATTCTAAATGCTTCATAAACCCGAATAGTTTACTTCATAGCTTATTCTGGATGCTTCATAAGCTTGAACAGCTTCTTTGGAATACTCTAACTAATAAAAAATCACGTATCAAAAGGCTTAAATAACATATTCCCAAATATTTCAATTAATAAACTCAACAATAAAGCGAATGTACTATATAACCAAGAAATTCCCTTTGATAATAAACGTATCATAGTTTAGATCTAGATATAAACTATAAGAACTTTATTAATCTTTATGATATAACTATTCAGTCAGGTATTATATCTAGGGTCTATTAAATATTTCAAACCTGGTAAATATAATAGACTTGGGTCTCATATTTATTTTTATTACTGTAATGACAGAAATAAATAAAATTAACAGTATATTTAGTAACAAAAAACTAATTAAGTATTGAACAACTGAAATTTGTTACCATTTAGCCATTGAAATTGTGATCAAGTTCTTGAATTTTTGCGTGCTGGTCTCTTAAGCGTATATAGAATCTTGTAATTTTTTAAGTCTCATTCACCTTTTTGACAAGAGTTAAATGGCGTTGATTATTTTTAATTATTGAAACTAGAAGTCTTTTACTATCTATTAAAGTATTGATTTGTAAATTTTTAATATTGGGTCAGGTGTATAAAAAATTCCCAAAAAATGTTGACAAAGAAGTGCGCATAAGCCAATCAAATCAAAGAACCAGAGCACAGATTATTCTAGATTTTGATTTCCTAATTTGGTAAATCTCCTGACTGAATTAGCCATATCTATTTTAATTTGATTACATTTTATATCATTTTGTTGCTTAATAGTTTTTAAGGTTTCCTCAGTTGATTTAATAAATTCTTGATGTAAATTATCTTTAGCTTCTTTGATTCTAGCATTAACCTCTTCTTCAGAGTATTGCGGAGCAATGATGACATGTAGTGCTGAATCTTCGATTTCTTTTTGGGCCTTAGTTACTTGCATATTAGTAAAGGTAGTATCATCTAAAAGTTTATTGTGAAGCAATGTCTCTTTGGGTTTACAACGTTGCTGATTTTTTTTCTTTTCATATTTATCAACTTCACTAATTAGCAATATTTCAATATCAGAATGAATACTACTTGCCTGTACTTCTGATAAAGGATTATGTAATCTAGATATAAGATGATTCTATATATTTTTTTTTATAGAAAGAGGTAATTTCTTGAGAAGTTCTGAATAATATTCATGGAAATTCGTCATTTTTATAAAATATAAAGATTCTGAGAATTAAAATATTCTTAGTAATTTTAGAATTCTTAGAATTCTTAGAATTCATAATTTTCTTAAACCCGAAGGGTCATTGCTTTGCAATAGAAAAAATATTAAGAACACCAACTTGAAGTATTCCATGAACATTGCCCAGCTGATTGTTTATAGACCAGAAAAGTTATTGCAATAATAAGCAAATATCTTATTCATCTTTTCAATTCCAATTCCATTTTGATAACCATTACCAACTTTATATATTAATATTTTTTTATAAGAATGTGACCTCAAGGTCATGTACTATATTACACAAGGCGCAGTAGTCACATGACATTGTAACCTGTGGGTCACATACTACTATAATTAATATTTATATTCGAAAGAATATTAACTATATAATTTATAACTCTGCGAAGCAGAGATGCTTTGCATTCTATCTATTACTTGTTTAGCTTATGTGGGTATTCTAGACTCGAAGGGTCATTGCTTCACAATAGATATGTGAGATACACATTCATTTTGATACTTCTTTGAGAGCTTAACACTTAAAGCTCTTTTTTCAGCCAACTCTGGAGATATTTCATTTGATATAAAATTTTTATATGCTTGTATACGGCAATAATAATATGGCAAACTAGTTATTTTATCAGATAATATCCAATACTTAGTATCTATAGGGCAAAGAGCCTTCTTTTTTGATTCGACCAAAGATAATATATGGTCTTTTAATCGAATACCTACATTTTTAGCATAGAATACTTCATTACCAAAGAGATAGTCTCGATAAACTAGAGTCATAGGATCTGCTTCAGTTCGTATAGCCAAATCCTTGACTTCTTCCTCTAATAATAATGGTATATCTATTGGATCATCTAGCAAAGACCTTCTAAAGTTGGCATATATAAGTTCGTGGCCATTTCATTTATACCCTTTTTGCTAACTCCCTTATGCTTAGACTTTGTAGACTTATCTGCTAAAACATAATGATAAGACTTGGCTTGAATATGTATAGATTCTGTAATTACACTATCTGGAGTTTCATCCTTAAATTTGCCAATAGTTGTATTACCATTAAGGTTAAAGAGATCAGGTCGCTCTTCTATATCTTTATAGATATCCTCAGTCTCAACTAGAAATATAAATGAGTCTGTATCCTTATATCCAAGCTGGGCTTTATCACCATATCTCTCTTTTATATATCCATACCAAAAGCGATACATGTGAAGTTTGCTAAGACCCAAAACTGATGCTCCAACAATAATAGGCTTATTAAAAATTATACTAGCTTTTCC